TTTTCCATGTAGGACTTCCCTGGCCAGCCTTGGTCATCTTTGGAAGTAATGGGATGCTCTAGTTATGGTCATGTCCACATAAGTATTTAGTGGAGATCAGGAATGAGCTCTTCAAGTGAGTCTTCCCATCCTCCCAAAGTCCTCTGCTTTCCTGCATGCTGTGGAGCTCCCACAGTCACTTGGCTAGAGCCGAATGGGAAGATGGACTCCAGAAGAGTGCCTCCTGCATGTCGAGTGCAAGTCCCACATAAAAAACGCTCCAAATGTGTAGAGTCTAACCACTGGGTCTGGAGCAGTGACTGCCGTACTTGGCAGATGCTCTGCTGTTCTGGTGTGCCACTTGCTGCTGTATGGCCTACATCAAATATGTATTTTTGAAGCAAGCAGTGGTCTAATGGTGGCCTGGCCTGCATTGTACATGTAACACGGAAACAAGGTGAGGTCTCCTTTCGGCACGGGTTGGATCCTGAATTGGTCTCTCGGTGATGGTGGGTCTGCCCTGGGAGGTCCGGGGCAGTGGCACAGGGGCAGTTCCCCTGCAGCCTGGGACCCTTTGGACAGATGGCGGGTGCCAGCAGGGCAAGGGGGAGCAGTTTAAAAGACTGAGCTGTTTGCACTGGAGACTGAAGTGCATGGCAAACGTCTGAAGGTAAAATGAAGCTCTGGGTTCTTGCAGAAAGAATGAATCCAGCATAACTCATTTGCTGACAGTGGGGTATAAATGCCTGTGCTTGCTCTTTCCCAGATTCCCTCCGCCTCCTTGCCAGGCCTGGGCACCACCTGGCATCCCTGTGCAAAACACACTACTGATGTCGTCTTAGCTGTCTCTTGGGTTTTTCTTTCTCCTCCAGGGAATCGTCCAGCAGTTCTTGGTCCTGCTGACAACCAGTTCTGATGAAAGCCTTCGGTTTCTTAGCTTTAGATTGGACTTCAATGAACATTACAAAGCAAGAGAGCCAAGGCTTCGTGTATCGTTGGGCACTAGAAGCAGACGAAGCTCACATATGTGAAAGGACTGCTAAGGACTGCACCTCGGTATCCGAAGGATGTTGAACCTCTTGTTGGACAAGGCAATCAGTGTTGACATCATACAACCAAATAGTGTGTGATCGGTGTCTACCATTTCTGCTGGCAACCTGTTTTCAGTCATGTGATTGTGTGACACTGTATAGCAGAAAGCAAAAAAAAGTGGGGCTTTTTTACACTGACGTTTCTAGAATTACCAGACTAAATGGGCTAATTGAACCTCTTCCAATCAACTTCTTAAATCATCCTTTTAAACAAATGCCAATTTTATTTGAAGCTTTCTGAGCTCTCTCCACTGTAACTTGGGTCTGTGTCCAGGAAATCACATCTTTTGTTTATAGAAAGCACCATTTCCTTTTTTAACAAGAAAATAAGAAGGTTATTTTTTCTATATATACTTGTTCTATTTGAAGAGAGCTTTTGTTAAAGCCAACAGATTAGGACCCAGACCTAATGTCCTTGTTAAGAAGCTATACAGCATTTCATTATGCTGATTTTCAGTGTGGTGATGTGTTTGATGGTGTGAGAAACTTTGTATCAGGAGACATAAACCTATATTTAATTTTTTTGTTGTTTTCAAAGCTAACAAACTGAAATAAAAACTTTAGTAGGGAAATTCTATGGTTACTGTACAGGAGAAAACTATAGAAGCAGAGCAGGAGTGTATCTATTGCACACAAGATCTAAAAAATGAAGTTAAAGCCTCAGTACTGTGAAAGGAAAGTTTTGGTTAAGATTGAATAGAATGAAATAATTGATGTTCAAAATCAGATGTGTAGAAACGAACTGACTTGGCTAATTTTAACTTCATTCTCTCTCCTTCCCTATTTTTTCATTGTAAATATTTATATATTGCTGTCCAGATGTTGGGGAGAGGGGGATTCTTCTTTTGCAAAGTTGTCATTATATCAGGTCATTTATTATGTTCCACAAGTGCAAGCTTAGAAAAATAAAAACACAATTATCTTTCAAACAAGTAGCTTGCTTTTTGTAATTGAAAGATTATGATTTTTCAACAGGGTAAGAAAGGTGAAGCTTCCAATTAGGAGTGTGTTTATTTACAGATCCGTACCCGTGACAGGATTTTGGTACTAGTCTTATCTATACTTAGAGTTGCGTGCAATTCATTAATTAACAGTTACCCTCAGATCAACCAGGTCTGTGGTCTTTTTTGCCTCTTGCCCTTACTCCACTTGAACCCCTGGGAAGCAGAGGCACCTGCCAGGCCATGCAGGAGAGGCTGCCGTGAGTCATGAGGGAGGTGAAATCTCGTGGGGAGGATGCACCGACTTGCAGCCCTGGACTAGCGGGTTTGCACTCTGGACACCAGGATTCTCGTTACTGTGCAGGCCTTGGAATCCTTGCTTTTGTTAAATAAAACATGTAAGGCTTTTAACCCTGTGCCCTTAAAGGACCTTCTGGTGCAGCTACCCTCATGGGATTACTTGCAGGCAGCATTTCAGCTGTAAGAAAATACGGACCCTGAAGCCAGTGATATTCTGTGTGCCAAAGGAAAGCTGAAGGATGCCGAGCTTGGCATCATAAAGTCACAGATCACTTGACAGGCAGGAGTACTCTGTTTTGGTGGTGTGGTGGGAGAGTATTTTTCTTGTAAAGTCTGAACTACAAAGCTTATGTGATTGTGTTCTGGCCAAAACCGTTGGGAAAAAAAAATTAGCTGCATGGGCACTCTTTTGGCCATTGCCATTAGAGGCATGTTGCATGATCCCATGTGTCATTAGACAATCCACAGGCCAGAGAGGTAGCATCGATGTCAGAACTAGAGGACAAGTTCCAGAGGAAGGTTTAGTTTCCTTTGGTGCTAAAATGAATCCAGCAATATGCAGGAAACCCACAGTAGTGGCTGTGCTGGGAACGATAATTTAGGGGTGATTCCGCAGATATCCGTCGATCTGGCAAGAGTCCTCACTGCTGCAGGAGTTGCTCCGGCTGCCAGGCTGAGGGGGACGTTTTGAACACAAAGCACAGAATACCTGGGCCAGTGGGGACCTGCCATTGTCCTTGGTGCTCCTTTGTGGGTGGAGACCCGTCTTTTATCCCCTAACCCAGAAGCTGTCATGTTTATTTCAATTTACATGTTTTTTGTAGCTTCTGATGTACAATTAAAACTGAGCAGTTGTGGTGTAACAAGCATAGCTTGAGGAAGCCAGTGACCTCTTTTCAAGTAAGATGGAGCAAAGAAAAAAACCTTCGTCATCATCTGTTGGCCCTATACTATTAGGGCCAGATTCTCATCAAGAGAATGGATCGAAAGTTGAGCAATAAACACTTCAGATCTTCCTTTGGGCTTGGAAATAATTGTATTAACAGAATTGTCATAATAAATTATGCGAGAGCGCCAACACTTCAAACCAGAGCAGAAAAGTGAGACTTGATGCATCAATAAATATTTAAAACGCGAGGCACAGAATAACCTGTGCAGCTCTGCAGGAAAGTCCCCTGGAAGTGGAGAGGAACTGTTCCTGAGATCTTCAGTTTCTCAGGCGATGGCGTCTGTTCTCTCTTTCTCAGGGATTGCTCTGCCCTGTAGCGCCTGTGCCTGGGGAAGAGCCATCGCCATGCTCAGACCGCCAGGCTGGGGGAAGGTTCTCAATCCCTGGCATGGAGTGACTGGATCAGCTCTGCTGAAAGATCCCCTGGAAGTGGATGGGAGCTAGTGATGTCGTCTTTGATTTTTATGGCAATTTCAGCCATTTTTTTCCTTTTGCTGATTTTTGCTTTGCCTTCGCCTGCAGCTGGGTCTTCCCTCTTTGCGGCACTGCTGCCATTACCTAGTGCTGCTTCTCTGCAACACAAAGCATGGCTTTCGTGAAAGAATCTTCATCGATGTGAATGAGGAGACTGATTTTATGAAGCTCTCGCAACAGAAATGCTAACGGAGCTGCCCACAGCTGACTGCACTCCAGGATGCTGTCCCTAGAAATGCTTCACTGTGCGGAGCAGCCATCCAACCAAGAATGCTGGGAAAACCAACTCACCCTTTTCTTCAGCAGCAATTTAACCAGGTGACCCAAAGGTGATTTTGGAAAGAGAAAGTGTGGGAACATAGTGGGGAAAGCAGATAAAAAAGGCTGGTTGTGTGTAAATAGAGTGCTGGTCAGTATGGTTTTCTAGCCTTGCCCTTCACCTGATCAGTGCAGCCCGTCCTATCTCCATACTAAATCCCTTTCCCGTTTCCTGGGGGTGTGTGATGGGAGTCCAAGTGCAGCGACTGGAGTGGGATCACGGGTGGGAGGTACGCCCGTGGTGGCAGCAACTGCAGACACTGCAGTGAGAGGACGTATGTATCCGGAGGTGAGAGGGTCTGGGGGTCAGTTGCTGGCTGGACCGCGTCTAACCCCAGCTACCGGAGAGATCCGCGTTTGTGCTGCAAGCCTTGCAGAAGGCGGCGTATTCAAGGAGTTAGTGATGTTGAACAGACGTGTCTCCTCTACTGGGCCTCGTACCTTGCACTTGAGCAGCCTGAATGCCAGCATGAGCAGCCGCTGTATGGGAACCTGATGGAGTGCCCCATGCCAGCCCATCCTGTGCAGCAGGGCGTGGGAAGAAGGAAACCCTCCACGGATGGGACCTGCACAGCGCACCACGGGAAGATCCATCCAGGCTCCATACAGTGCTACACAAAAGCAGGGTGCCCAGCATCTGAAGGGGTGTAAGTTTTACTCGCTATCTGTATTCCTCTTTTTATCCTATTTATATTCCTGGTTTTATTCTGTCGCATTAAAACAGCTATTTTGTTAAGCCGATTGTTGTCAGACCTTTCTTATTGAGATCCAGAGAGAACACTGCACCCTCTCTCTCTCTCACTGACCTCCTGGTGCAGAACAACATTGTCCTTACAGAAATAAGTAATATATCTATATATTATATATTAGAGTGAGAAATAGATATATATCTATATCTCCCGCTAATATATAATATATCTGTATCTCCCAGTAATGGACCTCCACCCTGCTCAGCTGGAGAGGCTGTTGATGCTGCCTGTGTCCATGCTAGTGCTCTGTGTGTCTGTCTGTGACCTGTGTGGCCAGCCATGTATATGTACATATGTGGTGCGTACGTGTGCTCTGTGTGCACGTGCCTATGGGGGACGCATCCTGAGCCTTGCTACTGGTTGGACTTGGGGCCACGGAGCCGTGGCAGCCTTGCCTCTGTCAGGCTGCTGGATTCAGCAATTCCTAACAAAAGCGCGAGAGAAATGATCTTACATTTCATTTGTGCCTGGAGGCCAATATTGAATTCTACTTAAATGTGCGTACTGGGTGTAAGGGTTGACAGCCGCCTCCTGCTGCGGCCGCGCAAGTGGCTCACCTTTCAGTGGGTGGCAGCAGCACCATTCAGGTACGTTTCTAAAGAGAAACATGGGAGTTTTACCCTTTTATTTTCTTTTTTAACCCTGAACTGCTTATCTACTACAATCAATGTTAAAGATTATCATTCTTAACAACACGTTTACTCTTTCAAGGCTATTCTTTATTTTGTAAGGTATGTAGTGCAGGCTTCTGGCTGGTATTTTCAATGTTTTTCTGTTGGAGCTACAGTGTCTGAAAATACAAATACAGCTGAGGGCCCAAGCAGTCACGTCTCTGGGCTGAAACCGGCCCAGCTTCTCCTGCTCTCTGCATCCTCTCCCGGGGCCATCGCTAACTGACCCCGCACGCTCGGCCCCCCCCGCACGCTCGGCCCCCTCCTTTTCAGAGTTGCCAAGGACTAAGGAAATTTCTGAGAAACTGCAGTAGAAAGCAGAAATGCAGAAACTGAGAATAAAATGGTCACCCACCATAGGATGCCATACAATATGCCAAACTCTTCTATCCGTGCGGTGCTACCAGTATCATAAATGCATTTAAAGGAAAAGAACTGGAAAGTATTTATGTATTATTCTTTTAAACTGCAAGGGATATTTGTCCTGGTAACTGACACAGAAATTATATCTTAACCAATATGAACTCTGAAGAAGAAAAAGTTAAAAAACAGCCCCTGAAAGTTTAATCTCCCTCTGTAAGTTACAACAGCTTGTCTGCCTCAGGGTACAGTACGATGCGATTTAATACCTTAGAAACATCCGCTAGGAAATGCAGAAGCCTAGGATAGAATATATTTTTCAGTGAATTAGTTACAGGTTTAGGGTAGGAGATCAAGGACAGAATATAATCATAACCTGGTTTTATTTTAATGATTCTATTTTTCACTCAAGGCCCTGAGGATTTTCTCCTCTTATACCAGACGCAGTGAACAAATGCCAAGGTCTTTCAACT